ATTAAGCCTATCACCGATGCCACGACTCCGAGGGGATAATCAGTCGACGACAACAAAAGATGCGTATCCACCGAAACTATGGTCACCAGTTCAAATAAGTGAACTTAAAGATATACCATTCAAAAGCCAGAGATACTCTGGTCGAGGTCAGCATCACCAGCAGCGGTATCTGACCAATTATGAACAATTAGAGGCAAAAGGACAAAATATGAGAGGAGTTCAGACAAAACAGGTCGCATTGCAACCACGATTTCTTACACCTAAACAAATATGCCATCAACAGCCTAGTGAAGATTGCGATAACGGAAATTTGAGAGTTCAAGGGAATTCTGGTACAGAGTCAAAAACTTCATCAATTTTCCCGGCCTATATAAACTCAAACCTTACTTCCGCCGCCACCAATACCATGAATGCGGACAGTAGCAATATAAGTGAATCATTCTCCTCTTCCTCCTCCTCTTCGCATATCACTTCAGCTTCCTCTTCGCCATGCATGGACGCCTTATTTGTAGGGCTGAAAGACTCCTTGGCAGCTTCCTCCCAAGCTAACCTCCTTCACTACGCATTCTACCTGCCCGGCAACGAAGCAACTAGCAATAGTTCAAGTTTGCTTCGTAGAAATCAAAGCTACTGCAACTATACGGATTTCCAGAACAAGGCAAACAATGCCTCGGCGATGGAGTCATTGAGTTTATCTTCTCCACCTTCCGCTCAGTTTTCCACGAGGATAGGCCAGCCGACCAGTGCATGCGAATGTCATAGTGATGAGAAGAAGCGACTTCTTTCGACCAACGAACCCAAGGAAACAGCGATGGACTTCTGCACGAACGCCTCGCAGATGGTACCTTTAATGTGCCTAAACAACCAGGCACCAATTACTGTAACAATCGAATCGCCACTATCATCACCTCCTCTATCATCCAGCCCAGAACGTTCATCCACTCGGCTCTCATCGCCTAAAAGTGGGTTACAAATATCGTTTTCCCATTCGTGGATAAATGCCAACTCGGATCTGCCAAACGAAGCATCCTCAGATTC